TGCTATGGCTCTAATAGCTCTGACTCCCAGACAACTTTATTTATTAACATACAATCAAAATAATAATTCAGTACAATTAGATTATCACCACAATTTCCAACAGGATAAAATTTCATACATCTTCCCAAATGTTTGTTTCTACTGTTCTCTACAGACATATAATACAAATGATCTTTTTGTAGTCCCAGTCCAATTAAAAATTAAAGCTGGCTTTGGAGTTGGAATGTGGCTCTCTCCTTCTCTAAACCCAACATGCTTGTTAAAAGGAAAATGCAAAATCTCTGTCTCATGTCAGAAGAGCCACCTAGTGTGGGACAGAAGAAAAACCAAAATTAAAGGACTATTCTATTGCCACTAAACTCATGATCCTTTGGTTTTATTTTGACTCTTTAAAACTATTCTTATAAATATCAAAATTTATAAGATTAACATATGTATTTTAAATTTTTTATCATGTTGTTAATGGTCATATAGAGCACTAACTAATTCTAGAAAAAGGCTTCATCTAGCTTCCTGTACATGATTTCAGGTTTGAGTCTCTATCAGGTAACTAGAAATTAAAGTTTTTGTACTCTGAATGTACATAACAAATTATAGTCCTTTAACCTCTTTGAGACCTGCTGCATATTACATTTAAAATGTCTTAGTTTTCTGCAGTAAACCATGACCATACTAAACAGCAACCTTTGCAACCTTTGAAGCCCCCAAAAGAACAATGAGGTCCCACAATGACGATTTCACCCGGATTGTGGTAATGCCACTAAGCTGACAAACACCACCTAAAGATCAGCTTTGGAGTACAAACTGCTCAGGACAATTTCAAGGTGGCTAGCTGAGATGTTCCAGCTTCACAGACTATTCTAGCCAGGACTTAAGATAAGCCCTGCAATTTCCCATTACACAGAGACTGGACAACAAATGTTACAGCTAGCTCTCCCAGGACTTGACAATTATCCCAATTTTTTTCAGGGTCCACTAAAGATGCCGTTGTCCCCAGAAAATAGAAAGTAATTTTAAGAACACAACACCCACATTCCCAAGAGGTGGGGTGGGTGGTTTTTGGTCATTTAGTGGGTTATGGATATTTGCCATAGTTTAGGGGTGTTGGTTATTGTTATTGTTGGTTATGGTCAGTAAAAAGGCTGGACAAAGGAGATTAGATTCAGGTATCTCATTCTAAAATGAAAAAGAGGAGATACAGAAATAGGATAAAAGGGTAGACGCCGCCGAAATAGCTCAGTTGGGAGAGCATTAGACTGAAGGATAAAAGGGTAGATTATTGAATCTACTTTTACACCAAAAAAAGTAACTACTAGTCTTAAATATTTTACATTGGCTTGGATTTTTGTATATTGATACAAATTTGAGGTTATTTTTGTTATGCTTTTGTGGTGATATATTGTGTTCCCCAATATATTGTGCATCCTAATAAACTTATCTGGGGTCAGAGAACAGAACAGCCACTAGATAGACATAGAGGCCAGAAAATGGTGGCACACACACCTTTAATCCTTTCACTTGGGAGGCAGAGATCCATCCGGATTTCTGAGTTCAAAGCCACACTGGAAACAGCCAGGCCTGGTAACTCACACCTTTAACCCCAGGGAGTGATGGTAGAAAGTAGAAAGGTATATAAGGCATGAAACCCAGGAACCAGAACTGGTTAAGCTTTTAGGCTTTTAGCAGCAGTTAAGCTGAGATTCATTCTGGATGAGGACTCAGAAGCTTCCAGTCTGAGGAAACAGGATCAGCTGAGGAATGGGCAAGGCTGAGGAAGCTGTGGCTTGTTCTGCTTCTCTGATCTTCCAGTGTTCAGCCCAATACCTGGCTCCAGGTTTTTTTGTTTTGTTTTGTTTTGTTTTTTGTTTTTTTCGAGACAGGGTTTCTCTGTGTAGCTTTGCACCTTTCCTGGATCTCGCTCCGTAGACCAGGCTGGCCTCGAACTCACAAAGATCCGCCTGCCTCTGCCTCCCAAGTGCTGGGATTAAAGGCGTGCGCCACTACCACCCAGCCCAGGTTTGTTTTTAATTAAGACCTTTTAAGATTTGTGTTACATACTTTATATATGTTTCTACTCTTGTTTAAGATAGTTTTATATATTGATATAAATTTTAGATTATTTTTGTTAAAACATACTGTACATATGTTTCTACTCTTGTTTAAGGTATCATACCTATACAGTTCATTTAACAATGTAATGTAAAATTTTAGTCCTTGAAAGTTATTATTAAACTATATAGGATAATAAAGAAATACAAGTTAGTAGTTAGTCACTTATTACAATCAAACTTGTAGTCATGTTAGTATGTTTCCAAGGTCAAACAGATATATTTTAGATAGATAGGTTGTCTTCAAACACTTCAGAGATACACAGAATATGGCATTTAAGAAGTTTTAATAACATAAGGGTTTTTGTTTTTTTGGGTTTTTTGTTTTGTTTTGTTTTGTTTTTATGACTATGAGACATGTCTGCTCCTGGAAGCACCAATCTACTTCAGGGAAGACGATGGGCATCAAAGAAATTCCATATGGAGTTTATTTTCTTTGTGGCAAAAGTTAGCCACTGGACAAGAAGATGCCCTTGCCTCAACTGCTGACAGTATGCTGTCCAAATTGGACAAGCAGGACACAAAAGAAAGTGACTGCCAAACTTTGCCAAGACAAGATGGGACAGTCCTTCAAAAATCTTTTTAAAGGAAAAGAGGTGGGAGAAGAAAAAACAGAAAAGAAACGAAGATTGTGCTCTTCCCAGTTGAGAGTATGGCACCCAGATGAAGGCTGCTGGAAGAGGTGGGGGAGGGGAGGGGAGGGCTGGGCGTGTGTTTACGTCTGAGTTTCACCCACTTCTCTTCTCTTCAGTCTTAACTGCCACCTAAGGAGGTGTGGGTGTTTCCTAGACATTGGGCTTCTGAGGCTGAAGTTAAGTCTCTACTCATTTGGGCTGGAGTCTGCCTTTTCATGGCTGTTTATACGTCTGCTGGCTCTTTTCCAGAGTGTGGTAGTTACTATCCTGATCTCTTTGTGTGTTTTTTTCTTTGAAAATTGTTTTAATGGGTTATGAGAGAGTTCAAGAGTCAGTGACTATGTTGATTCTGCCGTATTTATCTAAACAGCCATTTTCAAATCCACTCTAACTTTGTCAGTCAGGGGAAGCTGAGGGATTTCCCTTCTGCACTCCCATCATGGCACTCTGCTTTAGTTCTGACACTCACAGATCTTACCTTGTCCTGAAGCATTTCTCCCCCAGCACACATTGCTCTGCATCCAATCCCCAGACCCTACTCTGGAAAAACTAAAAGTAGAATCCCACTCCTTTCTGGGTCCACCATTCGCTTTCTGTTTCTGAGTTGGACTAAGTTAGATACCACCTATAAATGGAATGATAAGGTGTCATCGTTTTTGTGTGGGGCTTGTTTCATTTAACATAATATCCTCGAGGTCATAAATAGAGCGTATGTCAGAATTTGCTTCCTTTTCAAGGCTAGCATTCTGCTTTGGGTGTGCATTATAACACTACATTTTGTTCACCTGCCAATGGATATTTTTAGGTTGGTAAATATTACTGGCTATGTTCTGTTCTTTCTGTTTATTTGTTTTAGACAGGGTATTCCTGTGTTGCGCAGACTAGCAGCATCAAACTCATGCTCTTCCTGCCTTGGCCTGGACTAGTGCTAGGATGATGAGTGTACACTGGCCTCAGCACTCTCTAGAGAGGTTGCTCTCAGCTCTTTGGGATGTACATGTGGACATATGATTGTGTTTTATGACATTAACACTTTTGAAGAAAGCAATTACCGCCCACCTCCTCCCTTTTAAAAACTGAATGATTGCCATTTGGGGCTTTTGTAATGTTTCCCCGTTTGCTATTCAGATGCGCTCTTGGCCAGCTCAGGGGCTCCTGTGTGCTTCTTAGGACTGCCTATCAAGAGGCATGTGGTAACCACTGCTCCTCACAGGTGATGCTCATTTGAATCAACTGATTAGTGTTACTTGGTTTTTCTATATAATTATTTTTTCTGCATATTTTAAGCAACCAATGTGGCTTCACTATAGGACCATGCAAAATATCCCACTTATCAAACGTTTGCTCTGCATTTTTCTTGCCAGGATTCATCTTACTGTGATGGCGCAAAATGGGGGAGTTTTTTTCTTTCAAATGTACAAAAGATTGTTTTAAAGTTAATTATATATTACACTCAGTAGATCATTTTCAGTGTCAAAAGATCAGTATATTAACTATAAGATAAGTGAGCCTATTAACACATTTTATATAATGGTCACTGAAGATTAAGTTGCTTCTGAGTTTCTGAAATTTAATGGGCATTATGGGTAGTTCTATAAAGTCATTACTCTTTTTAAGCTTGAAATTACAGTGTACTTATGTGTATAATTATGTTCTGATACTTCTTACTCAGTCTACAGGTTGTTTACACTCCCATTCTCAACCTTGGCTTTGATTGGAGTGGCCCTTCTGTCCTGAGAACTTTTCATCACAGTCCTTGTTCCTGTGAATTTCAAGTTTGAATTTATATCTCATCAAAAAAAAAGTCTTCATCTAAAAGTTGGTTAAATGGGGTTCAGACATTGCAGAAACCTACCAGGAATGAACAGAAATCATCTTTGCAGAAGAGTGGGTGTGTATTTGTTTGTGACACAGAAGGTCAAAACAAGGGCTTTGACATGCTAGGCAAACACTCTACCATTGAGCCACATTCCCAGAAGAAAATGATTGAAAATCAACCTAAAAGAATTCCTCATTTTTGTGAAATGTGAATTTAAAACCAGGAATTGCTACAATATAGCTCACTGGTAGAGTACCTGTTAGGCATGCGCAAGGCCCTGGCTCTTAATGCAAAAAAGTGAAAATGTAATATGGAAATTCCAAAATGCATTATATGCATACCTCCAATCCCTGCTCTCTAGAGGCCAAGGAGGGAGGCTCCTAAGTTCATGACCAGTATGGTCTATGAGCAAGTCTGTCTTAGGGTATCTATTGCTGTGAAGAGACACCATGACCACGGCAACTTTTATAAAGGAAAACATTTAATTGGGGTGGCTTAAGTTCAGAGGCCCATTATCATCATGGCAGGACATGGCATTGTGCAGGCAGACATGGTGCTGGAGAAGGAGCTGAGAGTCCTACATTTTGATCTGCAGGTAGCAGGAAATGAACTGAACTAGGTGTGGCTTGAGCATAGGAGACCTCAATCCCCCCCTTACAGTCACACACTTCCTCCAGTAAGACCACACCGACTTTAACAAGTCCACACCTCCTAATAGTGCCACTCCCTATAAATTATGGGGCTAATTACATTCAAACTACCTCAGTAGCCATTTTTCTTTCTGTTACTGCTGAGTTTAATCTAGTTGAAGTTGTGATAATTAAGTTTATAAAGATAAAACTATGTAGTATATAACTGTGTTGCATCATTTTTTATGTACTGAATCTGTCCTTCAGATGGAAACAGTGACACTATACTGTATCTCTTTTGTTTTCCACAGACAATGGATTCTGAATTATCACCAAGTGTAATTGGGAGCTATCTTAACCCTCCAGAAAGAATGTATCTTCCATCGTTCACCCAGAATGAAGCGTCTCAGAATTGCCGCCCTGTAAATTCAGAAGTCACTTCTCCTAAAATGTTTAATAGTTCAAACAACCAAGGTAATATTAATATGAAACTTTACAGGAAATTTGGAGCAGGACATGGCATGGAACAGACCTTACTGTTGTTATGTAGAAAACAGTGTGATTGTGTATTAAATACTCACAGACCTGGTAAGCACGAGTCTGCTGCTGTCCTGTGAGCTTTCACAGGTCACTTACCATTTCTTAAAATATTGGCTTCTTCAGCTATAATCTAAAGATTAATATAACACTCTAATAAATATTTCACATTTATCATAAAAATATCTTAGAAAACAGAAATCTACTCTTAGCAATAAAAAGCCAACGCCAGGTTGGTTTTAAAGCCCACGCCTTCCATCTGAGCACTCTGGCTGCAGAGGCAGATGGATTTCCTTCCCAGGCCAGCCTAGTCCACAGAGTGAGTTCCAGGACAGCCAGAACTACACAGAAAGGGGTAAATAAATAAACTAATAAAAGATAGAATAAAAATTCAGATTTGGAGTCCTTCTGACCTAGGTAATCAGAATGCTAGTGGGTGAAGTGGAGTTGTATCATATTCAAGCAGCAGTCAGAACTCACATATCCAAAATTATTCTTGTAAATCACTTTGGAAGCCATTGTGTCCACGTAATCTAAAATATGACTATTGCAACTTTTTAAACATAAACTTAAGAGAACCTTAAAATTGAATTAGAAAACATTTATGACTCCAGAAATACTTTATGCTTTACAAATTTCTTCATAAGAGCTGACCATTACTCTTCAAAAAAATAATCTGTAATAATAGTTGCTGTCTTAGGTAGGGTTTCTATGGATGTGACAAAACAGCCTGGTGAGGAGAGAGAGAGAGAGGGTTTATTTCGCTTACAACTCTCCGGTGGAACTCCATCCATCCCTGAAGGAAGGCGGGGCCGACTCAAGGCAGGACCGCGGAGGCATGCTGCTTCCTTGTGGTCTCCTCATGCCTGCTCAGCTGCTCTCTTATAGTACCCATAAGACCGGTCCAGAGAGGGCACTGCCACAGTCAGCTGGGCCCTCCGCGTCAGAGATTAGTCAGTGTACCACAGGCCTTCCCACCGTGCACCGCGGTCCTTCCCACCGTCCTTCCCTCCGGGGCAGCACGGGCTTCCCCAAGGCCAGTCTGGTGGGGGCTATCTTCTCCCTTGAGGTTCCTCCTCCCAGGTGACGCTTGTATCAAGTGCTTCAGTCCTAGGAATCACTTAATCCAGTAGTAGGTTATTATTTTTACAAGATACACCATAGAAAACGTGTCCTTTTTAGAATCGTTTCCATTTTATGGGTATTATACATCAACTTGTATATATTTCCTGGCTACTAGCAAATATACACTGCTCATTTTTTATTGTTGCCCAAGTTACTATGATTATTATTAAGTTTTCAAAAACTTTCACTTAAAACATCAAGCAAATTTCTTTTCAACAGCACTTGTTTCAGCATTAAAAACGCTCCAGGAAAAGATCTACCGTCTAGAGCTGGAGCGGACGCAGGCTGAAGACAACCTGAACTCTCTGTCCCGAGAGGCGGCGCAGTATAAGAAGGCCTTGGAGAATGAAACAAACGAGCGCAATCTAGCCCACCAGGAACTGATTAAACAGAAGAAAGGTAAAGGACGATGTTCTCAGCACATGGGGTTGCCAGAGCCTCCAGCTGGACCGCAGTAAGCCCAGGGGAAACTGACTTACCCAGACATCTCTGCTGTTACTGTCATGGAACGCGTGAGGCCGCCATCTGAGGCATTTTACCATTTGTGGAAAACTAATGGAACTTTAACTTGCCTGCATTATATCCGTTATCCTAGCTCACAAATACATTGTTGGGGGCAAGATTCTCACGCGTCCCCTGGAAGTCTTGAACTTACAGTAGCCACAGCTTTGCACATCCGAGCCTCCTGCTTCCAACCCAAGTGCCACAGTTTCGGGGGTGCACCACCCGATTACTCTGTGCAGTGCAGGGACTGTAGTGCTCCCTACTGAGCCGCGTCCCCAGCCCCAGTTCATAAATGTGTGAGTCAAAAGAAAAAACTTAGGCAAGTTGTGTTTAGAAATTAGAATATTTTTAGAGTAAATCATAAAACCAGCTAAACTCATAATAATAATTTATATTTTTGCTGAACATTAGTTTGAAATGTAAAGCAATGATAGTAATTAAACAACAAAAATAAAAATGAATGGAAAATAATTTTATTCAACTTGAGGAATATAGGACTATTTAAAGGAGATAGATAGATCGATAGATAGATAGATCGATCGATAGATAGATAGATAGATAGATAGAGACTTCTGTGGAAATTAGAGAAAGGGCATTCGATAAGAATTTTTAAGAAATTTAGAGTGTGATTTCTTTGTATAATTTTTTTCTTCAAACATTGTTTTTCTGATAAAAACATTCACCCGCATACATAAAGCCTGTTTGTGTTGCACCTTGCAAATAGAATGAAGAATGAGAAGGGGAAAAAATGAGACTGAGCAAAATTAAACTAATGAAAGTGAAAGGATTAAATATTGGTTACTTACCCTTTTAGAATTAACTGAGTGGTGAGGGGTTGGAAGGAGAGGGAAGAGCCAGGCGTGGTGGGGCCCACCGTTAATCTCAGTACTTGGGAGGCAGGGCAGATCTCTCTGTGTTCATAGCTAGCCTGGTCTGTCTACATAGCAAGTTCCAGCCTAGCCAGGACTGCGAAGTGAGAGACTGTTCCACACACACAACTTTTTTTTTTTTTTTATAAAAACAAAAAGAGGAGTAGAGGAGAGACCCAGTTCCATGGCTGCTTCCTGCCAAACTTGACGGCCTGAGTTTGATTCCCAGGACTGAAATTATAGAAAGTGAAAACTGAAACCCACAGGTTGTTCTCAGACCCCCTTTAATGAGTCAGTGAATAAGAGTGCTTGGTGTACAAGAAAGAGGCCACAATTCGTCCTCAGCACCCCTCCAGAACAGCTGACCGTGGCTGGGAGTACCCAGACCTCCAGCTTGGGGGTGGCGGGAAAGAGAGGCAGAGCACAGTTGCTTGCTGGCCAGCCAGGCAAACTGAACCAGTGGCTTCCAGTCACGAGAGAGGCCTGACCAGGGAATGAGGAGGAGGGAACAGAGAAAGACAGTTGACATCCTCCTCTGGCTTGTGTGTGTGTGTGTGTGTGTGTGTGTTCACCTCATACACACACAAAGTCACTTTTAGCTTTGGGTTGAGTTTGCGCTGTGACTAAATCCCTGATCTATGTAGTAATCAGCTAATTAACTCATTATTTTGTCTTTCATAGATATCAGCATCCAGTTAAGCTCAGCCCAGTCTCGTTGCGTTCTTCTAGAGAAGCAACTCGAATACACAAAGAGAATGGTTCTCAATGTAGAACGAGAAAAGGCTATGATCCTAGAACAACAGGTAAGCATTCTTTCCTTTAAGGATGTTCTTTTGAAGAATATAATATGGGGAAATTTTCATATTATACCCAAAGGGAGATATAAGGCTGTATAGGAGATTGTCACCTAAAGCGATGGTCGGCTGTGCCATTTAGGCTGACAGCCTTGCAATGAAAACAAGAAAAATTAACAGATAATCTGAAGAAGAGCACAAGAAATGAGGGAGGAGGTGAGGGAGGTGATGGGGAAGGGAGGCAGCGCATGAGTTAACCAGGTAGTGCGTAATGACCGATTCTGGCTGTGTACAGATTTAAACCCCCACGGTTTGGCCTGGTATTTTGGCTCGTTCCTTCTGAAGGCGTTTGTGACTTCAGAGGGGGCAGGTGAGACAGAACCTCCGACAGCTGCCCTTCTGGCTCAGGCGGTCAGCGTAAGGCCTGCATAGAGCAGCAAGCCGAGGCACCCTCAGGCTGCGTGCTCTGTGGAGTTGAGTAAGGAAGCAGACGGCTGGAAGACAAGCAGAGCTGGGACTCAGAGCAGGATGGGCACCCGCAGGACGCAGAGACGCTCCCACAGTTAGTGCACAGGTCAGGCAGGGGTGGCCGTGCAACCGAGGCAGGAGTCACCGAGGTGGAAGGCTTGAGCCCGCTCTGGACAACATAATTAGACTCCGTCTCAAAAAGCAAAAGAGGCAGGGGAAGAAGATGCCATTTTCTTTAGAGTGTTAGAAACCATAATATGGCCAAGCAGATTTAAGAACGAATTAAATATTAAAAATGAAATTTAGAACTAGTAGATCTACTAGATGGTTACCAGACAGAACTCAAGAAATGGACACATGCCACCCAGACCAACAAAGGACAAAATTATAGTCGTTTCAGGAAATAGGAAAAGGTAACATGTCAGAGCAAGAAAGATCTAACTGGATATATAACTGGAGATGTTAAATGGAGAGGAAGACTGATGTAGAAGTAATTCTTGAAGATGTGGTAGCTGAGCACTTTGCAAAATGGATTAAAGATTAAAATCATATGTACAGTCAAGAGGCACCTAAGGTAATTACCTCATGAAGTGAAAAGTCTGCCAGGTGTGGTGGCACACTCCTTTAAGCCTGGCACAATGGAGGCAAAGCCAGGTGAATCTTGCTAAGTTCAGGGCTGGCCTGGTCTACATAGCGAGTTCCAAAACTGCATAGAGAGACCCTAACTCAAAAGAAATAGAAATACATAAATAAAATAGGTAAGTAAAGAAAGTACACAGTGTTTATTTCCATTTAAACATTTCCATCCATGGTTGCTTTGGGCCTGTGGCCTCATAGCAGGGACATACAGGGAAGTGAAACCTTGCTGTCAGCAATGACGTGGAGGCCAGGGCCACACTCCCAGCCACAAAGTCCTCTACTGACCCCCACTTCTCCGTCCTGTGGGTAGAATTGTTTCTTGGTTTCTTTCTCGGCATATTCACAACTAATGTAAAGAAAGCTGGGGTTTGTGTTGATTTTATGGCATGTGTGTTGACTTTCTTCATCTTTCCCAGTGCTGGCTTAGTCATAAATGACTTGAGTTTGTACTTGTCAAATGTATTTCTTCATTCATTTTAAAAGATAGCTTTTCTGGATGTAGTTATCTCGGTTGGCAATTACTTGCTGTCCGAACTTAAAATGCATCATTCCATGCACCGTGGCTTCAGGGCTTTTCCTGGCTGAGAGGTTTGACATTCTGATGGGTTTGCCTTTGCCGCTATTTTCTCCTGATGCTTGGAATATCATTTCTTCTGGAGTTCTGGTCTTTAACTGTGATGTGTCATGGAGTGGCTCTTCTTGAGGCATGTCATTTTAGAGTCCTGAGTACCCCTTGTATTTGGAAGTTCAGGGGGCGGGGGGGGGGGGTATGTCAGTGCTGCACAAAGGAACACATGAACATACGAACCTGAAAGTGACAGGGCAAGATGGTTTCTTTTTGAAGAAAGGGTGCTCTAGAATCCAAACTGGGCTAGAAGTAGCACTCAGCCTGCAAGCCTGCCTTTTACCCCTGGCGGGGGTGGTGGTTGCATCTCTTCCCATTGGTGGGAGCTTGACCTCACGGTCTGACATGATTGGCTAATTAGCGAAAAGGCGAAGGGGAAGTTTCAGGAAATATGGGCCCTTGTTGGGCTAACTACCTTTGTGTGTGTGTGTGCGGGGGATGCTTCTCACACTGGATGTCCATTTCTTTCTCTGGGTTGGGGAAAGCTTTGCTGTAGCTCGTTGATTGTATTGCTTTCCGCATTTCTATGGCAGGATTCCTGACCAAAGCAGCTAAAGCAAAGAAGGGCTCATAGTTTACGGTGTAGTATCCATTGTGGCTGGAAGGCATGGCGGCGGCGGGAGTATGAGGCAGCTGGTTACATTGCATGCATCTTCTGCAGTCAGGACACAGAGAGATGGGGGCTAGTGTTTGCTTCTCCTTTTGACTCACATCAGGACCCCAGCCCATGGGATGACGCCACCTATATTCAGGATAGGTCTTTCCTCCTGGTTTAACCCTCTCTGGAAACACTCTCATAGACATACCTATGAATGTGTTTCCATGGTGATTCCAAGTCCAGTCCAGTGGACAGTGAAGATTAGGCATCACAGTTGCACGCCTTATCAGCCTGATACCCACGCAGATGTGCTTTAGATCCTGGCACTCCAACCATGCCTCCTCAAGGCTCACTGTCATCTCATAGTATAAAACACTTTTAGTCCATTTCTCAAAGCGCCTGTAATCTTAACAGTCCAACACTGTTCTGGAATCCTAAATCCCTGAGACTCAAGATAAACCCTTCACTTTGAGCGCCCATAAAATCACAAAGAATTCCCGCATGCAGTGATACAGAGTGGACATCCCCATTACAAAAGAAGAGTGGGGCCATAGAAGAAAAGATCAACCAGAACAAGACTGAAAGTCAGCAGGGCCAGCACCAGCCTTGTGCTGCTGTATGTGTGGTGACTGGTGACAGCCTTGAGGAGTCCTGCCCCTCCAGCTCTCCTGCCTGCCGTACACAGCCTCTCCTTGAGGAGTCCTGGCCCTCCAGCTCTCCTGCCTGCCGCACACAGCCTCTCCTTGAGGAGTCCTGGCCCTCCAGCTCTCCTGCCTGCCGCACACAGCCTCTCCCTTGAAGAATCATGCCCCTCCAGCTCTCCTGCCTGCAGCACACAGCCTCTCCCTTGGGCTAGGTCTACTATATGCTTGTGACTTTCCTGAGATGTCCCATGATGTTGACGTCTCCAACATCCTGGAGTCTCACTGCAGTTTGGGCTTCACCTTGACTGCTTCATGCGGTAGCCTCTCAGGGCCCCTTTGCAGGAACTTGGAACCTACCACACATTGCCTAGTTTCAGTGGTCTTTAAGTCATCTTGGTACAGACTTTGATGACCTCTCACTCTTCCATCTTTCATTTATGCAAACCCAAGGCCATGTAAATGACACTGCCAAGTTCTTCTGCCAGCCCAAGATGTGGTTTGAGCTCTTGGACCACAGTGTGGTCTCTGTGTGTCTACAGAGTTGTTTGCAAACAGTGAGCCCTTCTTCTGATGGCATTCCCAGTTCAGACCCTCGGCTTTCAAATGAATTTGCATTTTCACAAGCTGGAACCTTCCATGGCTCAGGTCATACCTTCATAGCACCCTTCCTGTTGTTCCAAGGACAAGGACCAGGTTTCTATTTAATGAAACTATTATCTTTAACACTTAACATCGCTGTCCATCCCACCTTGGCTGCAACACTGGATTTGCTCAATGCTCTCTTCTTGACTACCCTGCACATTTTCATATTTTTCGGATCCACTTTTTGCTCTCTCAATGTAGTAGGCAATAACCATGTTACAGTCTGAATCCAATCTTCTCTTGAGTCCGGGCAGTGGTAGCACACACCTTTAATCCCAGCACTTGGGAGGCAGAGGCAGATGTATCTCTGTGAGTTTGAGGCTAGCGTGGTCTACAGAGCTAGTTCCAGGACAGCCAGAGCTACACAAAGAAAACCTGTCTTGAAAAACCAAAATCCAAAACCAAAAACTTCCCTTGAAATTTCTTACACCAAACAAATTAATATATTACTTTTTAGAAGATTTGTGTGTGTGTGTGTGTGTGTGTGTGTGTGTGTGTGTGTCTTTCCATGCAAGCACATATGCACACAAGTGTGGGTGCCCAAGTAGGCCAGAAAAGGGCCTTGGATCTTCTGGAACTTGAGTTGCAGAGAGTTACAAGGCACCAGATGTGGGTACTGGAAGAAGCCCAAGTCCTCTGCATGAGTAGCAGGTGTCCGTAACTGATGAGCCGCCCTGAGCCCCGTCCTCTGCTTTTGAATTCAGCCTCACTTGAAGTCCCAGGACGTGGGCGGAAGGAGTGCACTTTTGTCAGTAGACTGCAGTGTGGACGGCCTCTAGCTCAGTTCCTGTCATCGAGTCCTGTTCCTCTTGGGAATTTCATGAAGTGGGACCCCACTGTGGATTGTCGGGTTTCTCCTCTATTCTCCCCAGAATGGCCGCTGGGCTCTGTTATAGAGTTCTAGCGCTTCTCTAAGTCACAGCGCTGAGCTCGTTCATATTCTTCCCGCAAACTAGTTCCAGGCACCTAAGAACCGTGTAGTCAGGTTTATCACTCGACAGCCCCACGCTTCAGTACCGTTTCCTGTTGTTGTTATAGACACCTGACAGAGGCAGCCTTGACTCACAGCCAGACCATCATGGGAAGATAAGAAACATGAACTAATACCATGACACTCGTGTGGGAGAGTCAAGTATTATCTTTTCCACTTTGTAAAACTTTTATACGAATGTTTTAGCTAACACACACACACACACACACACACACACACACACACACACACACCCTGTAGAACCTCTGTTTACACAAGGCCCTGCTATGTTCTAGGATTAAAGTTGCTGACCTTTTCCCCTTCGTTTCCCGTGCGCTGATTCTTTATAGACTAGCCAGCTGTGAGGTTGGACCCCAGCCAATGGGGAAGGGCCACAGTCACCTCCTGAATTAGAATAAAAGC